TAACGATCACTGTAAAAAATAATAAAGGATAACTCATGTACAGGACTTGTTTCATGGAAGTTTGAAAATTATACTTGCAAAAAAAGAAAAAGAAAATATAGAACAGAAATAATTTGAAACTATCAATTTTCACAATTGGCTCCTTGAAGTATCAAGGCATTCATCAATTGGGTGGTTTGTGTTTAATGTTTATCGTGTGTTTGAAAGTATATTAAAATTTATTAATTTAAAAATATATCAAAATATTTTTTTTTTAGATTTTTTTATATAAATACATTAAAATTATTGAAAAATATTAAAAATAATGAATTTTTAAACTAAATGTAATTTTAAAATGCACTTAAAATGTAGTTTTAACTAAATGTATTTTTAAAATGCACTTAAAATGTAGTTTTAAATGCGAAAACAAACATTGCATAAAAAAATGTGAAGTTTTTGAATGGAGTCCTCATGATTTATAAATGAAAACCACCACAAATAAATATGAAATAAATGGCCAACAGGTAGAGTTAAATCACTATTAGAAGTCGACAAAAATCACTTAAATGGTCACATGATGACACAGACCAGAGTCTTATCCCACCTCTATTCTCATAGAAGTTTGGATCGAATGGTGTAATTCCAAGCCAAGGATTTGAGATCCATTTGTTTTCTGGCATCGTGGCACAACGAGTCTTAACATAGTCTCGGATTTCATCAATCTAGGCAGAAATATCATGAACATAAAGAGATTAATTCGTTCACCAAGTTGATCAGACTAATAACATCGCAAGGTCTCAAAATTTGCCGAGCCCCACCAAGCAAAAAAAAAAAAAAGAAAAAAAAAGCGAGCCTCCACCAAGCAAAAAAAAAAAAAGAAAAAAAAAGAAAAAACTACTTCCTAAAAGAAGAAAAGGGTTAGGGCAAAAGCAACGAAAAAAAAACTTGGCTGAGGAGGCGAGGGCTACCAGCACACCAGCACCTTGAAAATGTGTGGTGGTGTGGTTCTGGACATTAGTAGCTCTGGCTCTCATTAAATTTCTCACACCATAATATTCAATCACATGCCAATTCTTAAAACTTTACCAAAAGCAAGCACTGATCCTAAACTTTATTTAATTACTTATCGAGAGTCTAAGATAGACTGATAGATCACCAATTAAGGTAGGTGTTGCCAACATTGCTAAAACTCAAGCAGCTGGTTACATGTGTATGTGGAGTGGCTACTCCTAGTTTTTCCTAGCTAGCGTTTTTTGCCCTTCTTCTAACCTAAAAAAGAATATAGATATGAAAACATTGTTATAAACTTAAGCTATGCTGTTGCTTGAACTATATTGAGAGTTTGAGACACGAATCAATATTTACATTGATTACTAAATAAACTATACTACAAGATCCTAATATCCAAAAATATGTTTTTTCTGTGTATATATATACATATATATAGTGATCAAACCTTTACTTGCCTCTCATCCTAAAATATTATTTGATTTTAGAACAGGGGAAATGACCACTTCATGCAAAATACCAAATTTAGAAAAATACTTCGTAATTGTTTGGAGAACTTTGATAATCGAGCTTTTAATGGACACTAAATTCATATTAAGCATATATTCTTGCAATCAAAATGGATAAAAATATCAAGAAAATGAAAAAAAAAGGGTTAACGAAGCTTTGGAACGTGAAATTGCATTAAAAAGAGAGAGTACCTACGTACTATTTGAATAAGTAAATTATGAAAATTTAAAAAGATAAATAAACATTACTTTTTTTTCCATGTCGTGTCAAATTGCAAGACCATATATATATGGCAGTCAATTTAATTTTTCATATATATATATATATATAATTATTTTCTAAGCATATTGTTATTACTACTTTCTTTTTGTTGAGAATCCACACTTGCTATGGTAACTAGTTCTTATAACTAAGCCATGATCTCCATTTGTTTGCCGAGCAACGCTATAGTTAGGGAAAAATCATAAAAAAAATGTGATAGTCACTATTTTCATGCTTCAGAAATTATATATTTAATATCTGTGAAATTCCAAATTCACTATCTATCACTCTTTCCTTGTATTTATCACGGAACCAAAGAGAAGTCATACATTCATAGGGGTATAATTGTAATCAACGAACATGCTTTCTTGTTTGAGAGTAATTAAATGAACATGGTGGCTCAAAATTAGCAAACACTTGCAAGGTCGCAGTTACATAGTTTTGACTCTGCTACTGCTTTTTGCAAAAATATAAAAATCACATGTTAGACTCCTTTTTTAATAGATCAGAAAATGTATAAATAGAAATTTTGACTTTTTTCTTTCTTTCTTTTTTTAAAAAGAATCTTTACCATTGATTCCACGTGCAAGCAAGCAAGAGGTCAGAAAGAAGAGAAGGGAAGATAACTTTAAACATGATCATTTCATAGAAATACATGCATATCATCGGTGATGGGTTGCAGTCATCGAGACCACTAGGGTGGGATCAGAAGAAATAGAGGGAGGTGCTTGCTTTAGTGATTTCAAGCCTCCCTTCCACGTTTGTTAATTTTATACCCTGTTGACTTCGACATCCACTTATTTATTCTGTTTTTCTTTTTATAGAGACGAACAAAGTCAATGTTTTGAAATCTTACTTGGTGGTTGGTTTGATTTAAGGTCTAAATTTTAAATTTTGATTAGGTTAGCCGATTGTTTAGATTAATATTTTTTAAAATTAAAATAATATTATTTTAATAAAAAAATTAATATGTTATAACTAGATTTTTGAACGGATTTTTTTAGGTTGAGTTAACCTATTAAATTAGTTGGAATTTTTTTTTTTTAACTTGATTCAATTCCAACTTTAAATTAATTGGATTCTGGATCAATTTATTATACTGGTTTCAAATCTTTGATTAAAGGCTTATATATGTTTAGCTATAATTATCATCATTTTATCTATGCATATTTTAATTATAAAGAAACTAAAAGATTAAGTGGTTTCACAATTTCAATTACTGTAGAAGTAGAGTTATTTTTATTGTGGATTGGTGTATTTTAATCGTTTTTTTTTTCACCCTTGAGAATTATAAGGAAATTTTTTACTGATGTTTATTGAAAATTAATGTGTTGTTTATATAGGCTTGAAGATTATAATAGCTTAAAAAAAATAATCGTGACAAAGCTTACAAAATGTTTAGGACTTTTTGGAAGAATTGACAACAAAAACTTCTATTGGTAATTTCGTTGCCAACATAGTTTCTAATGGAAAATGAATGAGTACAGATCTTAAATTTTAGTATGGATATTGATCTGGAAATATTTTTCATTGCCAAAAAATAAATCCAATGGAAACAAAAATCCCAACGAGATAATAAAAAATATAGATGATATTTAGCTTAAACACCAACAAGATATTCTGTTAATATTTTCTAGTAGTAATATAATTAAATAAAAATAAATTTTAAAAAGTACATAATTATTTTTAAATAACACAAACAAAATCATACATTTTCAAATTCCATCTTATTTATTTCTATTTGCAATGTAATATCAGAATTTTGCATACTATTAACGGATTTTTTCGTTAGCATTTTCGATACAAATTCTGTTGAAAAAATATTTATTAATATAATTACATACGTATTAATTTATTAAAAAACATATTATTAATGATTTTTATTTTTTATTTTTTATTTTGTACGTCATTTTTCAAAATTCAATTTAAGTACTTTTAGGTTATAAAATATTAACACGCATCACAGTTTCAGTTTCAAAATGCATAGACAGCTCACTTTATAATGAATTAGTGGGCACAAGTAAATGGAAAAAAGTTCAATAAATCTTTTTGAAATTTTAATCATCAATTTTACAAGAACAGGTTGGAAATGAAACACGGCCAGAGAAAGTATTTTATTACTTTATGTTGAAAACTAGAGTGAAAAACGTAAACGTATGATAAAGTCTCATGAGACCCCGCAGACAACGTTGCAACGAAGCTCGGTCCAAAGTCCAAATGAGGTACACAAGAAATGTATATATATATATATTGCATAACCCAGAAAAAAAAGAGGTATAGAAGTTGAAATTGAAAGTCAAATCAAAGTGAATTTTACTGTTCAAGCCTACTAGGGAAATAGAAGCACAAGAAAAGTTGTTTAATAAGGATGTTTCATGTATTGAGTATTATTAAGAATTAAGTTAATATAAAATTGCTTTTAAAATCTTATTCAATAATTTAAATATTTAAGTTGGGGTTATTATTTGATATTTTATTAAGTGATCGTAAGTTAAAATCCTATCACTCCCTCATTCTTTTTCTAAATTAAAATATTTGGTGAATTTAATCATCATCATGTTATTATTTTGAATATATAGGTATTATATTATTAATATATATGCATTAATTTATAGTCGTGTTTAAATATAATGTTAATAAATGAAACTTTGTGATTACAAATCGTATGTCTAATATGATTATCAACGTTTTCATATACTAATGTTTTCATTTTGTAAAAAGGATAATTTAAAATACACCAACTAATTATTCTATAAATTATTAAATATTTTAAATAAAATAAAAATATAGTTTATTTTTTTGAAGTCTGAAAATCATCATATATGTTAACAAGAAAGGTTCAAAGGTCCCATAAAAAAGAAAAACACAAGTACAACATTAAAAAAAAAAAAACTAGTGGTCTCATAAAAAAACAAATATAAATGTATCTGGACCTGATTGATCTCCATGTAGTTAAATAACAAGGAAAAGGTTGTCGATTTAATTACAAGTTAAAAGCAAAGGGTACTTCAAGACATGTAAGGAAAACAAAACGAGAAAAGACAAATATAGATTAGATGCTCTAGAGTATAGAGGACACTAATTAGAGCTACATGTATAGCTTATGTACAAAAAGTCCAAAGGACCTTAACTGGAATTTAAGGAACCTTGTTGGTCTTTAGATATTATCCGTGCAATTCCCTCCCATCATTGCTATAAATAGCTAATATCCGCTGCCCACTAATACAAACATGGTAAGAGTTTCTTCGGAGAAATACAAGCAACTTGGTTTTTGATCGTGAGGGAGAGAGCTGCACAAGAGAGACTTGATACATACATACATATATATTTCTTTCTATTTTGTAGCAGCAGCAGAGAGATGGCCTTGCATTTTACATGGGTGTTCGGTTTTGGTCTTTTAGGTATATAAACAAGCCAAGTGCCAGCATGTTGTCGAGGGTTATTTTCTTATTTTATTGGTCTTATAATATATAATTTAAATGAATTTACTTAATTAATTGTTACTATCTTATTCAATTTGTTAAGTTTGTTATTATACACATAAGAAATTATGAAAAGTAGGAAAGAATACAAACTAGAATGAATGTGCAAACGTAAAAATAATTGTTCCGTGAGATGGCTCGTTTCACATGAACAACTTTAGATGCATATAGACTTATAAATCTATCCTAATTTGCTCTAATCTTAACTTAATCCACAGTTACCCTAATCATCTCCTCTTACCATACAGTTGAATGCCTCAAGTTTAAGGATAATAATAAGGCGGTTCTACATGGAGATGAAACTTCTTGATGCATGGAAATTATTAAGCTTCTTTGCATAATTTTCTCTCTCTCAGTACTGCACTTATCTTCAAGAAATTGGTTCAGATTATTAAACTCATTTTGCTTCTATTAATTTTCTTTTTGGCTGCCAATTGTAGGCAACATCATCTCCTGTTTGGTCTGCCTTGCTCCTTTGTAAGTCTTGCGTACTCCGCAAATCTCCAGTTTTTCACATACTCAATAATTACCATCATCTATACATTTTACTAAATTGTGATAACTAATTAATATATATATCACAGGCCAACTTTTTATCAAATCTGCAGGAAGAAAACAAGTCAAGGGTTTCAATCTATCCCATATGTGATTGCACTATTCAGTGCAATGCTTTGGCTGTTCTATGCAATTTTTAGCGAGAATGCCATGCTTCTTATCACCATTAATTCCTTCACCTTTTTCATGGAGATCGGCTATATTGCTGTCTACCTTTTCTACTCCACCAAGAAGGACAAAGTATGTATATCTACTTTCACCTCAATATCGCTGTCTACCTCTAAATGTGAGAAGGGTCCTTTTCACAGTATTGGCTTACTAATTTGAAGTAATTAATTTCGTGCAGATTCTGACTTTCAAGCTTCTCCTGTTGTTCAATATTTTCGGGTTCGGTCTCATCTGTGCACTAACTCTCTTACTAACAGAAGGCATTAAACGTGTCCAAGTTCTAGGATGGATTTGCATGGTATTTGCTCTCTGTGTTTTTGTCGCACCTCTTGGCGTTGTGGTCAGTAACTTGAGCATGCAACTCAAATATCAACTGTTGCATATCTTAAAGAAAATATTGCACTACGATATTGGTTTTCCTAATACTTAATTGTATTTTGCAGAGAAAAGTTATAAAAACAAAGAGCGTGGAATTCATGCCTTTTTCTCTGTCTTTCTTCCTCACTCTGAGTGCAGTGATGTGGTTCTTTTATGGTTATCTAAAGAAAGACAAGTTTGTTGCTGTAAGTTCAACATGACATCTTCCAAAAAAAAAACGTACATTTAAGCTTTTATTTAAATTATTATCCCAATTTATTATTGTTTTTGTTTTGAATCGACAGATTCCGAACATCTTGGGGTTCATTTTTGGTATGCTCCAGATGGCGCTTTATCTAATCTATAGGAACCCCAAGAAAAATGAGGTGGCGGAGCCAAAAACTCAAGAATTGTCTGAACAATATTGCTCCGACATAAACATTGCGATGCCACAGCTGAATGAGGGTGGAAATGAAGTGTTTGAAGCTCATTCTGCAAAGGATCAAACCAAGGAAGCCATGGATGTCACCACCAAAGTTTAATTTATAGCTAATCCGCCGTTTCTGCTTTACTTTGAAGAATAGGACAGTGACTACATAAGTTGGAGTACCTTCTTGTATGAAAGAATGCATGCTACATGGTTGAGTCATGTGCACGTAGACAAAATAAATACCTATTTGCTGTAGAACCAGTCTTCTATATATTTTAGAAATTAAAATAAATTAGCTAAATTTAGAAAGATAAAAAAAGAGAGGATGTGAAACTTGTTTTATATAGTTTCAAAAATTATAATTAAAGTGTTGTTTATGAGTTTTAGTAAATCATAGACATATTTCAGTGTCTTCTAAGCTATTCAACCCCGCATAATTTTTATTGTTAATCTCTTTATAATAGTAATAATTATAATAATATATAAAAAAAATTCTATTAGCAAAAAATTTATCTGGTAAAATAATTCATAAAAAAACAAACTTCAACAAAAAGTATGCTCTTAATATCATTGACTCCAAAAAGATGCATGGAGGTGACATATCACATACACTCCACAATCACACGTAAAGAAAATATCATTTTTTTAATAAAAAAAATAACAGCCTTAATATTTAATACATCTAATAAGAACAAAATAACTGGATTAAACCCGATAGACATTGCAAAAGTTCCCATCCCTTGAGAGGTAAGGCTGAACAAAGCCATGCATCATCCATATATAATTGGGTTGTACTATATTGCATATTGGACCAGGTTTATACCATACTATGTTCAGCTAGAAATCATGTAGGCCTGGTTTAGATTTGTTTTGATCTAGTATAGATGGCTGAGCTAAATCCAACTCACATATTAAAAGAAAAGAGGGGTTAATGTTTTTGTTAGCCCAACCTGATTGGACTAAGACTCTAGGCCTAGCTAGCCTAATAACATAAAGAAAAAGAGAGGTTGCTGTTAGTCAGCCAGTCGGGTTGGGATTTTTCTCCCCTAAACCCCCGAGCCACCGCATTCTACATGCACAAGACATGAATTTTTCCCCGTTGTCACAAGACTAGGCTAGTGGCCATTTAGGCATGGGGTGGTTCCAACCCATATTTCTAGGCCGGGTCCAGCCTAGCAAAACAAAAACAAACAGAAAAAAAAGTGGCTAACCCTCATAATATTATATTTTTTGTTATAAAAAAAGTGAAAAAAACAGGCCGATGATGGCCCACCCAATTAAGCTGGGTCTATACCAATTTATATTTTTTAATATTATAATAATATTATATTGTATTATTATAAAAAAATGATTTTCTCATAATTCTTCATAATATCGTACCTATATTTATACTAGAAGATATAGATTCAATATTTGAAAAAATTAAAAATTAAAAAATTCTTAAAATTTTTAAATTAATTCTCTCTTTCAAAAAGATAAAAAAAAATTATTTTCATATATGATCAAATCTTAAAAATATTATAAACATACTTTTTATTAAAAAATAAAAAAAACAATAATGCACCTTTCTCATGTTTTGAAATGCAAAAAATAAATATCATAACTAGTTTATAATTATCTATTAAGGTTTGATTAAGACATCAAAGATTTTTCATCAATCATTTTATTCACTTTATGTTTAAAAGCATTATGATTTAGATGTAGACTTTAATATCCGAGGATATAAAATTATTTAATAGAATACATTCTTATATATTAAAGATATAGAGTACAAAATAAATAAGATATTAAAATTTAGACCTTAAAATAATTAAAATTTAACTTAATAGTATAAAAACTTACTCACAAAGAGAGATATATATTGAATTTAAAAAAAACTAACAAATAAAAACTTAACCTAAAAAATAATAAAATTATAATACAACTTATCTTAAATAAAATAAAATATTATAGAAATAATTTATATTTTACTTACATAACCAATTCCTTATTCAAACACTGCATATTATAAATTTTGTAATAAGACATATAGGCCCCATTGTCACAAGACTAGGCTAGTGGCCATATAGGCCTGGGGTGGTTCCAACCCATATTTCTAGGCCGGGTTCAGCCTAGCAAAACAAAAACAAACAGAAAAAAAGTAGCTGATCTCTTAGGCCGATGATGGCCCACCCAATTGGGCTGGTCTATACCAATTTATATTTTTTTAATATTATAATAATGTTATATTGTATTATTATAAAAAAATAATTTTTTCACATGTTTTTACAACAATTCTTCATAATATCAGACCATATATTTACACTATAAAATATAGATTTAGTATTTAAAAAATTAAAAATTAAAAAAAATCTTAAAATTTTTAAATTAATTCTCTTTCAAAAAGATAAAAAAATTATTTTCATACATACTACCAAATCTTTAAAATATTATAAACATAATTTTTATTAAAAAACAATAATGCACCTTTCTCATGTTTTGGAATGCAAAAAATAAATATCATAACTAGTTTATAATTATCCATTAAGATTTGATCAAGATATAAAAAATTCTTCATCAATCATTTTATTCACTTTATGTTTAAAAATATTATGATTTAGATGTAGATTTTAATATCTGAGAATACAAAATTATTTAATAGAATATACCTTTATGTATTAAAGATACAGAGTACAAAATAAATAAGATATTAAAATTTAAATATTAGAATAATTAAAATTTAACCTAATAATATAAAAACTTACTCATGAAAAGAGATATATATTAAACTTTAAAAAAAATCAACAAATAAAAACTTAACCTAAAAAAATAATAAAACTACAATACAACTTATTTTAAATAAAATATTTTAAAGATAATTTATATTTTACATCCATAACCAATTCCTTGTTCAAACACTGCATATTATAAATTTTGTAATCACCATTCAATTAAAAGGCTACTCCTAAACCACCTAATGGTAATTTCATGATTATATTAAAAAGCCCAACACCATTTTTCAAAAGAATCTTTAAAACGTGCCCTTTGCTGTCCCTCCACGACACATGGATTAACTTTTGAATTTTTTATCTGCTGACCAAGACATTTATGTATACTGGTCATGTCCTCATGGAGGGCGAAGAGAATAATTGCTCTTCCTTGCCTGCAACCTCCGTGAATGGAAAGTGTGGGTACAAAATAATCATTGGCGAGACAAATGGTGCTCTTTCACGTAGAAAATTGTGCACGCGACTTTTGGGAATTCAAGCTAATATAATTAACATAAGGATTCCTAAACAAAATTAAAAAAAAGAAGAGAAAAATAAAGGAAATTATGAAACAACTTCTGAACTTATTTAAGGCATGAAAATAACCTGAACTAATTACAATCAACTAACTCTCTATAGAACCATGCTTGTAGAACTCGCGATTGGATTAAAACTCATGTCAATTTAAGGCTACAAGTTCTTCTTCACTCGTGCAAACTTCTTCTTAGATTTGGATATGTCAACATGCAGGTGTTTCACGTCATTGTCTCTTGTCAGGCTTCTCCCCTTAAGAAAGATTTGCCCTCGAGTTAAGTGTCAAATATTGAAAAAAATATTAAAAACTGTATATATATATATATATATATATATATATATATATATAAAAACTCTTTCAAGATCTTTGCTTTTTTAAAAATTCATCCCTCGGGTTCAGAAAAATGTGCACGCTGAATTTCATGAGAATTAAATTTTTGTATTAATTTTTATAATTTTTTTTATCCCTCACAGCTTAGCTTAACAATACTACTAAAAGATATTTGTTATCTGCGAATGCTCTGCATCAAAATATTGCATGAACAAGACCCTGCTGCCTTTCTTTTATTTTCTTGCACTGTTTAGTCTAGCAAGGCCCAAGGCCAAGACAACCCCTTGGGCTACAGCCCTTGGGGTCGTGACACGTCAGCTTGTGTCATTGAACCTTTTCCCTCCACGAACACTGTCAATGAAGGCATCATTTCAGACCCCTTTCGGGACTTTATTCATCATTGTCGTAAGGTCAACATCAAGTTAATTAAAATTTATTATTTTTATTAAAAATAATGTATATTGATTTTTTAATATTAAATGGATCAAATGTAAATGAATTTAATGTAGCTAACCGATCATAAATTAATTTAATCAAGTTAATACTAAAATCAATTTAACTTAATAAAAACCCGAATCAAGTTTTATATCACGTTTTTTGGTCAATTCATCAAATTAGATAAGAATAGACACCTATGAATAGAAATTTTTTTTTATCTAATCTCTAATTTTATTCTAATTAAACTTTGAAGTTCTAGCGGACCAAATTAGGGATAACCACAAATACGGATCAACCCCCCAAAAAAACAAATTTACAAATCAGTCCCAAACATTATTGTTTTAACAATAATTGACTCAACGTTTCTCAGCTATAACCCCATAGTCCCCCAGTTAACATTCCCCTAAAATTGTACTCACGGAAGTGAATGCAAGCACAATGCCCAATCCATCATCATCAATATACAATCCGAGCTCTAGCCTTGTTTATTAATCCATCAGTTAAGATAGAATATAATATTGATTGTTTTTTAAAATATTTTTTATTTGAAAATATATTAAAAAAATATTTGTTAATATAAAAACATCAAAAAAATAAAAAAAATATAAAAAACATTAACCAATATTTGTTAATATAAAAAACAATAAACAATAAACAATAAAGAAAATATAAAAAAACATCAAAAACTTATTATTGGTTAATCATCCCTTTTTCTATTATATTAAAAATATATTTTTTTAATATAAAAACATCAAAATAATACAGAAAATATATAAAAATTTATTTTGAAGAATTTAATTTTTTTAAAATTTAGTAAAATATCATTTACTACACAATTCAAAATGACAGGCACTACGTTGTGTTTAATATTCTGGACCTGGATGGGTTTATGAATTTCCATCCATATCCAGACTCACGCATTATTGGTTAATCATCCCTTTTTCTATTACTTATTTATTTTCTATTTCTTGACATTTATTTGAGAAAAATGTTCTTCTAGATCTGAATTTAAAAAAAAATCAGATTTTTTTTAGTGAAAAGATCGTGCCTTTTGATCACGAGTGTGTACAAAAATCATTTTAATCAAACGTTTTAAATTTTAATTATTCATATGATACAACACATTCGTGGCAATGGTTACTTACAGAAAGGATTTGACCCTTTTTTCTGTGTGTTATTCCATGATTATTAATGTGCTTTAAGGATTTGACCCCTTGCCGT